TTCCTAATTTTAAATATTATTACTGTAACCCATGGAAACGACTTTTTGCGTATAAAAATAAAAAATTATACCTCAATTATAACACGTCACAAATATATATATTTTTTTTACGTTACCTAACGTCTATTTTTTACTTGTAAGAGTTATAACGAATTTAGACGTAACGTAACGTTAAAAAAATTTATTTTTGAGACGTATTTTAGTTACGTTACGTAACGTCTCAACTTATTACTCTTTAAAAAGTTTTTTAAAAAAAACAATTAAGACGTAATGTAACGAATTGAGACTTTTTGTTTTTTCGTGACAAAGTAACAAATTAAGACGAAGCTATTTTACAATAAAAATAAAATAAAAGATAGTATTTAGCAATGATGAACAAACATTTACTGCATTTTCAAGATTATTTACTTAATAGTTGAATAAAAAGTAGAGAATGCAACCTTGTTACCAATTGTAACCGATTGAGACGTAACGTAACTTTAAAATGTTATAGGGGTATTCATACACTTGAATACATGCCATAAAGAAACAATGTATAAGAAACATTGAAAATGTTAATGACAATTTAAAATAAATATTGTAATAATATATAACATATAAACTATAAGGATGAAATTCATGTATACAAAAGTATATATGTATATAACTACACACACACACACACACACACACACACACACACACACACACACACACACACACACACACACACACACACACACACACACACATATATATATATATATATATATATATATATATATATATATATATATATATATATATGTATATATATATATATATATATATGTGTGTATATACATATATATATAAACTATATGTATAAATTCTTAAGCTGCATTTTATTATCGTCGAAATGTCAAAGCAATTAAATTAATGCGGAAGTACATTAAATATTATTGTTTTTTAAAAAAACCGCAATAATAATGACAAGTATGTTTTTTTTTAATTAGTGGTGTTTTTGTTTTTGTTTTATTAAAAAAAAATTTTAAAACATGCGTGAGTGTTGCTACATCGACTATCTTATAGCCTGCTGCTAACAGGGAGTGTTGCTACATCAACTATCTTATAGCCTGACTCGCAACGGAGTGCTGTTACATCGACTGACAAATAGCCTAACTTGCAAGGGAATGCTGCTACATCGACAAGGGAATGCTGCTACATCGAAAAAAAAATTTTGATAAAGTTTTTTAACATTTTCTAGTCAGGCTTATTAAAGCACCCTTTAAAACAACAGGTTATGGGAAAAACTTTGTGACTACCATGCAAAACTATATACATATATATACAATATATATATATATATATATATATATATATATATATATATATATATATATATATATATATTACAGAGATATATATATATTACAGAGAACGACTCTGACTCCAATTCCAACTCCAAAGCAAAATTTTTTAATATTTCTTTGAATTCTTCAAAGCAATATTATGCAATGATTAAAAAAATCTTATTTGCCAAATATATATGAAAAGTTCTTTGAAGGTTAAATAATTTTTACATGCACATGCAATTCAGAGAAGTTTTACTATTAGAGTCAGAGTTGTGATTTTGTTTAGCAACTTTGACTCACTTTCAATGTCAAAACTCCAACTCTATGACTACTCAACCTCAATAGCTCTGTTCTTTACGAGCATTGCAATTGCAAACATCACTCTGTTTGCAGAAAACACTAACATAATTTGTACATATATATATATATATATATATATATATATATATATATATATATATATATATATATATATATACATTCAATAATAATTTAAATGCAGAAATACATCTTTGTTATGGAACTTAAAGTTTTATGACTTTTTTAGCAATAATCAGTCATACTATTAAAAATTATCAAATATCCGATACTCAGCGGAATCAAAGCGATATTGTAATAAATTGTTTTTCTCCCATTTTTAGAGATGTATTTTCAATAGTATATATATATATTTATATACATATATGTATATAAATATATATATATAAAGATATATATATATATATATTTATATATATATATACATATATATACTTATAAATATATATACATATATATATATATATATATATATATATATATATATATATATATTATATATTTTGTTAGATCGACTTGAAGTGGCCTTTTCATTGGTAAAAACATAACTTAAAGTGGACTTTTACTTAAAGTGGACTTTTTTGAGTCCACTTTACGTTTTTGATTAGTTTTTAGACTAAGTTATAGCTGTTAAAATGTTAATAACAAGTTTTTCCAATCGGACTATTGCTTCTATAAAGGTTTGCGGATAGGAAGTTTTGTTTTAAAAGCATAATTTTGAGTTTAAGTGTTTGTTATTTTGACCATGTATATTTCGTCACTGTACTAAAAAACACTTAAAGTGGATCTACATTTTGAGACTAGGTTTTGTGTATAAATCTTTACAATATTTAATCGAGTTTTTTAGTTCTATAAGACATCATACACCTTATACTAACCAAACTTAAATGAAATGTTAAATCTTTCTTTCTACAGATATAACATAAAAAAACTAAATAATGAGGTCGCTAACGCATAGATTTTGTTCAAAAAAAAAAATTATTATAAGTTAAATTAAAAGAATTTATTAACCAAGGTAAAGTTAAATTTGTTTATTTGTAAGAAAGCAATAAAATAATTTGTAAAACTAAATTTAAAGCAACCCTTACACATTATTTTTACACTTAATTTAAAGTCCATTTAAAGCAAACTTTTCAACATGTTTTGTATAAATCCATTTAAAGCGAAATTTCAAACATATTTTAAATGAATCCACTTTAAGCGAAGTTTCAAATGTTTTAAATAAGCTCACTTTAATTTAATCTCAAACAAATTAAGTAAGTCCATTCCAAGCGAGGTTTTAAGCGTTTCAATGTAAATAAATCTTGTTTTAAATGTTTTTAATAAGCTCACTTCAAGCAACATTTTTAACAATTTAAGTAAGTCCCTTTTAAGTGACGTTTTAAACGTAAATAAATCCACTTTAAACGGACTTTTATACGTTTCAAAATAACACTTTAAAATGTTATTTTTTGATTTGGTCTATAATAGGTTAGTGTGTGTTTTTCTTCTATTCCGGTGTTCTGTATTTTATTACATAAAGTATATATAGTATTTTGTGTTCATTTATTTTATTCATCATGAATACTCAAGATGGTATACTGAATGTCTTCGAACATATGAGAGAATTATATGAACAAGCTAATTATCGTAGAAACGCTATTGGTCAAATGTTTGGTGATAGCAACAGTAATACTCCTTCAAGACCTGTTGTTGGACATAAAAGACCAAGACAAGTGGAA